TCAGGATTTCTTCTAAGGTTTGGACCCCTACTAGCAGGAACTCAGAGCAAAATTTGGGGAAGTTCCCTAAGCAGGGCTGATTTGGGGACTCAGCTGGTCTGCTAAGTTCTGAACCCATCCTCTCAGGTGTCTCAGGGACTGAGTTCTCAGCCCCCGTGGCAGAGGGAGGCTGGAACAGGCACTCTCTGGTGGTCTGCTGAGATTACAGTACACAGATGTAGGTCTAAACCCACCCTCTCTGGCTCTCTGCTAAAATCTCAGCCTTATCCTACCAAAGCCATGTCTGTCTGCCCTGGGGCCTTGGGAGGGGCCTCACGCAATCCCAGTTAGGGGCTTGGGTACAGTGCAATTAGGGGAAGCTCACCACTACATGGAGGCAGGTTCTAGGCACTTTCAGGCAGTCCCCTGCATTCTCAGCCCCTATGCCAGAGAGAGGACAGAACAGGCACTCTCTCACAGTCTGCTGAGATCACAGTGGCTACAGAGAAACTACCGTCTCAGGCTGTCTGATTTAGAGGCATTTTTTTTATACAACAAAGTCTATCAATATAACAGAAATTCAACCAGGAAGACTAAAATACATGAAAAAGGGATTCCTTTACATTTTCTTTGGAAGCCTAGAACCATAACAAATGGTTTTCACATCTGCAAATACACTGGGGCAAAGTTTTCTCCCTGAAGTATGTAATTACATCCTCTAAAAGGGGTGATGGAACTAAACAAATATTTGGTTGGAAAACTAGTCAAGATATATATATATATATATATCTCAGATGTTTCTCAAATCTCAAATATAAAAATCTGTTTTTTAAAAAAATGGAGTTTGGGCTATGGAGATGGCTGAGTTCAGTAAAATATAAGGTGCTTGCCTTGGAAGTATAAGGACCGGAGTTCAGATCCCCAGAATTCACATAAAAAGCATGTTTATAATCCTGGGGATGGCGAGATGAGAGGTGGATTCCAGGAGCTGATTAGTCATTTGGCCTAACCTACCTGGCAAAGTTCCAGGTCAATCAGAGTCCCTGTTAAACAAAAGGTGGAAGGCACCCCAGGAACAACACCATGGTTGTCCTCTGACCTTTACATGCACCCAAACACATATGCACCCATAACCACATGAATACACACACACAGAGAGAGAGAGAGAGAGAGAGAGAGAGAGAGAGAGAGAGAGAGAGAGAGAAATACGTTTAGTTGGTCCACTCCATACATTAGCATATACATTGAATACATATGCTTTTTGCATCTCGATGTGTTAGAAACCTCTGAGGATGTTGACTCTACCTACTGAATTCTGAGCATACAGGGGCAGTAGCTGTGCCCATGCCTTTCATAGCCTTTTGTTCACTTGTAAATTCCAATCACCTAGGACGTATCCTGGCCTTGGCAGTTTACAATCTCAGAGATTGTGTGGCTTGGGTATTTGTATTTTTTTAAGTGGCAGGAGTGGTTCTGAGGAATATCTAGCATTAATAGAATATTAGATATTTGCAGAGATTTTGAGAGTCAGAAACTTTTGTGATAGTTTTGTTGTATATGGGAATTAGCAAAATGTCTTTTCATTTCAGTAAGGTAGAGATGAGAGTTTAAGTGTGTATGTGGACTTGGATATCCTTCAAAATAAGTCACTCACCATATATTTACTAACACACATGCCAACATACAAAAAGAATGTATTTTAAAAAGTAACTTGAGGCCAGGCATTGTGGCACACGCCTTTAATCCCAGCACTTGGGAGGCAGAGGCAGGTAGATCTTTGTGAGTTCGAGGCCAGCCTGGTCTACATAGTGAGTTCCAGGACAGCTGGGGGGCACATTTTATATTTATTTTATAAAATTATACACGGGAGGTAGAAGCAGGCAGATTTCTACGAGTTCAAAGCCAGCCTGGTCTACAAAGTGAGTTTCAGGACAGCTGGAACTACAAGGAGACCTGTCTCAAAAAAGACAAAAATAAATAAATAAATAAATTAATTAATTAATTAATTAATTAAATAAATAATAAATAAATAAAAAGCAACTTGAGGGAAGAGTTATTTTGGCTCACAGTTTGAGGAGACACAGCCTGCAGGAGAGGATGGCAGAATTCATGGCTGCAGGAATGTGAGGCAGGGGTTCCTCGTAGCTGGACAGGCCAGGAAGCTGAGAGCAGAGACTACTAAACTGCCTTCCTCCTTTTTGCCTTTTTATTCAGACTGAGGTCCCAACCATGGAATGGTGTCACCCACACAAGGTGTGCCTTCCTTCTTCAGTTCAGCTTCTCTGGATGAGTGTCTCCGAGGTGATTCCAAATGCAGTCAGGTTGACAGTGAAGGTTAACTGTCAAATATAGTTTTGGTTTGTTTGTCTTATGAGGCAGAGCTGGACGCTCATGAGGTTAGGAGACCTGGATCTGACTCTGTCTCTGTCTCCCTCTCCCTCGGGTTCTCTGTGTAATGATTTCTCTCTGCCTCTTACTTGGGGTACTCTTAGGGGTGGTCAGCAAACACGGAGTGGAGATGCTGAAATATAGCATTATATTTGGAGCAGAATTTAAGAAACTATCTAAAGCTGCACTCTTGAAAATGACATTCAGTTTTCATATTAATTACATTTTACAATGATATTTTACTTTGAATATTGTATCTTAAGATACTGTTAATAAAATATATGAAATTTAAAATGCACTAGTAATATTAGTACATAGAAAATGGGAAATATTCAAATACTTGTTTATTCTCCACAGCTATTACTTTTTACTGTTTCAGAATGTAAAATAGTTCTAAGTTTTAATTTTTGAAATAGATCTGCAAAAGCATACTATTTAGGCACAAAAAGCCTCTGAACTTTAAAGATATATGATGATTTACATTTGAAAATGGAGAGTTGTAAGAGACCACAGGGAATTACTAGAATTTATGGATCAATAGTTGGTGGCTATATAATTATACAAGATGGGCAGAGCCTTACTTAGGGCCATTAGAAGGCTCAAACCTCTCATAACATGGGAGTAAATGGGGGGTTATACTTTAAATAGAGCAGTTATTAGGAAATTCCAGTCACTAAGAAATTTCTATTAGAAAACTATTGAATTTAAAGTCAAATTCAAGTATACAGATCTTGAAAATAGTGGGACTCTCAAATTTTGTTGCAGAAGAAAATAAAGGATTTTTAATATTGAAAAATTAAATTAAAAAAATGTCCTGCTAGGTGCCAGCATGAAGTATGGGGACCATTGATGAAGCCAGGGATAGAGCTTGGGCAGGCAAAGGGAAAAGATGGAAAGTTCTGAGAGCAGTGACTGTGCAGTTGATGTGGTGGTGCATGCCTGGGATCCCAGCACTCTCTAGACTGAAGCCAGAGGCTTCACATAGTTTGAGGCTACGCATAGTGAATTACAGAATTCCAGGCCAGCCTTGGCTACATGTAGCTTCAGATCCTGTCCAAACAAATGAACAAACAAACAAACAAACAACAAACCAGTTATAAAATAAGTCTGTCAGTCAACTCTGAAAGTGGTGAAGGTGCCCCATGACCTGCAGTATCAGGTGTTCAGCTAAGATTTGATTCTTTCTGTAAAAATAGCACATCTGTCTCATTAGCATGAAATTTAAACTCAAATTAATGTGACCAAGTAATATGCATGGCAAAGAATTGTTTTAAAACAAATTTCCTTACAACTTAGTATCATTAAATGTTTGGTTTATGTACCTGTTATGTATTTCTAATATACCGTTTCTTGGGTGAAAGTGGTTGTGAGTGGAGAAAATTTTAAGAAGCCCCGCATAAGATGCCGTAAGTAGTGGTACAGGATGAGTAAGCACGGAGCTGTAATCGTCACTGAAGAAGATGCAGGCTGGTGGGCTGGCTCATGGATTCATGTGTTCTGGGTCAGAAGTCTCACTTGGGGACCCTTGCCACCTCAGGAACATTTGGCAATTTCTGGAGACAGTTTTGGTTCTTACAACTGGAGGCAGAGACTGGGTGTATGATTGTGTAGTGATCAGAGGACAGGGATGCCTTGAAATACAACACAGGGAATAGCCCTCAAACGAGAATTCTCTGGCTCAAACTGTCAGGGGCTGAAATTGAGGAATCAAGGCATGGTATTCATAAACAGACCCAGAATTATTAATCTAGTAAACAGTTTCTACTTTCATAGCGTAACTTCTCATGAAAAAAAGGTATACATATTTAAAAAAATAAGCATTTATTATTCACTAAATCAACAAGCACATGCTGTATTCACTACTCTGGGTACTAGGATTTCTCAGTGAACATGACAGATAAAGATTCCTGACTTGGGGGGCTGGAGAGATGGCTCAGCTGTTAAGAACACTGGTTGTTCTTGCAGAAGACCTGGGTTCAAATCCTAGCACCTACATGGCAGCTAACAACTGCCCGTAACTCCATGTCCAGGGGATCCGAGAGCCTCTTCTGTCTTCCATGGGCATTGCATGACATGGGTGCACTTACCTACATGCAGGCAATACACGCATACACATAAAATAAAAATAATAAATAAAAATATTTTTAAAAAAGATTCCTGACTTGAAATAACGTAACTTTTTTTTTGAGACAGGGTTTCCTTATGCTGTCCAAGGTGACCTCAAACTCATTATGTAGCGCAGGCTGGCCTTGAACTCATGACCCTCCTGCTTCAACCTCTGGAATGCTGGGATTAAAGGCATGTTGTCACAAAGCCTGCCTGGAATAATTTATTCAAACAAGGGGAGAGAGAGAATGTGTGATAGCTAGTGAGCTGGCAAACAATGAGAAGTGTGAAATCAAATGAGGTGTGACAGATCTAGAGTTTATCGTGAAATCCAAGTACAAAGTCCGGGCAGCAGGCTTCCAGGAGGGAGCCCTAAGCATGAGGTTAGAGAAATGGAAAGAAAGGCTAAGTTTTCAAAGGGCGATGACGTGGAATGAAGATTCACAGGACCTCCATAAATGTTCGCAGCTGTCAACCAGTCTTCTTTTTCTGAAGTGAGCCTCTCATTTAGCGTGCTCTTCTTTCAGGTATGGGAACAGCTCGAGAAACTATGCTGTTCGAGTTGGGGATTATCACACTCTGGTACCAGAGGAGTTTGAGGAAGAAATTGGAGTTCAACAGATTGTGATTCACAGGCAATATCGACCAGACAGCAGCGACTATGACATTGCCCTGGTTAGATTACAAGGACCAGAGGAGCGATGTGCCAAGCTCAGCACCTACGTTTTACCAGCCTGTTTACCTCTATGGAAAGAGAGGCCACAGAAAACAGCCTCCAATTGCTACATAACAGGATGGGGAGACACAGGTAGGACAAAGAAAAAAGCTAGAACTAGACACCTTCCTGTCTGGAATCCACACTTTGGGTGTGCTGTGGTTAATGAGATCTTAAACAGATGGGCTCAAGCTTAGATGCCTGGATATTCTGCCAAGTGTGAAACTATGAATGCAATCAAGATTCACATCCCAAGGGACTGTTGGTTTCAATTCCAATTTTAGCACACACTGATAGAACTCAACTGCTAGTAGAGCTTAGGGGTAGAAAGTGTTTTACAACTTTTAGTTGCCCAGACTACTGAGAGGACAGGGAAGAGATTTAAAGACTCCAGTCCAAGGATTCAGTCCAGCATTCTGTAGTTTAGAAAACTTTTCCAGATGACTTTAAAGTAGTTGGCCCAGTAAAGGACTTTTTTGGTGTTTGATGGTCTGTTCTTTTTGCCAGGGAACCCTTTATCAAGCTAAATTTTAGGGAGAATTCCTGAAATTAGCAAAATTTTGTAAGTGGACTGTGGGGTCGAAGAGAAGGCCTTGAAGTTTCTCCTCCAGGCTCCCTTCACTTCCTTTGCACTGTCAAGCTCTATGCAGGAATATTCAACGTATGTTCTTGGGTGAATGGAGCTCCATGAACCGTCTTGCTGTGGAGACAATCAGTGCACGTCAGACAGTGCGTACTTGGGATGGGCCTTGATATAGACCTAGGTCTTGCCTGGATTAGATGCTCAATACTCAAATGACTATTAAATAATGAGAAATATCATAGGTTGGCTACTTTCTGTTTTGAAATTTTACTTATACTCAGAAAAAGTATCAAGCATATTTTGGTAAGTGTTGAAAATGTGTTTAGTATGTATAAGTCCATCTCACCATTTCATAATACACAATAAAGCTAGATTTTTCATTATTTCACAGCAGCAACAAATCAGTACCGTAAGAAGGCTGCTGTTTTAGAATTGTGATTACTTCGTAAGAAATCGTTCATCACTTCCTTTTAGGATGATCTGAATTAACAGAAATGATCAGGAAAGTACATTTTCTAGAATGTTTTCAATGGCCTAGTTAGTCCAATTTAGTATGCTAAGACAATGTGGAGGACATATCAGCTGTACATTTAAGCTGGTCTACAATAAATGGCATGCTGAGAAGTGCCGTAGTAGCAGGTGGTAGGACTTAGCCTGTTTTATATATGGGAAATTATGTGCAGTTTTATTTCTACACCATTCTTTTATATGTATGTATTGTTTTTATTTCTTTATGAGTGTATTGCCTGCATGTATGTGAGTATACCCGTGTCCTGCAATGTTGCAGAGGTCAGAAAAGGGCTTTGGATTCCCCCAAAACTGGAGTTAAGGACAGTTTGTAGCTGCCATATGGGTACCGGGAATTGAACCCAGGTCCTCTGCAAGAGCAGTCAGTGCTCTTAACCACTGAGCCATCTCTCCAGCCCCTCTGGACCATTCTTATATAACACCGCATCCCTATTTTGAACAGCTACCACCTTACGTACTCATATAAAATGGCCATATATACTCCTAAAATTCAGTGTAGATTGAGATGGTTCTTACGCGAACCGATGTCACCAAACAGCTAGAGTACATATTTACCTTTTTGATATACAGAATTCAGTAACGCAAGTAATTAACAAGTGTTCCCTTTAAGCTATCCTCTAGAGCCATAAACATGTGGATGAGTGTTTTGCCCTGCATGTATATTAAGTGCACCAGTATACACAATGCTCAGAGGCCAGAAGAGTTAGATCCCCTGGAGTTACAGATGGTTGTTGGCTGCCATGTGGGTGCTGGGAACCAAACCTCGGTCTTCTGCAACAGTAGCCAGTGCTCTTAACTACTGAGCCATCTCTGCCCCTCACCCCTTAAGTGTATTTCTAGACAGGCATGGTGGCACACACCTTTAATCCCAGCACTCGGGAGGCAGAGGCAGGTGGATCTCTGTGAGTTCAAGGCCAGCCTGGTCTACATAGTGAGTTCCAGGACAGCTGGGGCTACCTCAAAAAAACCAAAAAAAAAAAAAAAAAAATTGTATTTCTTATCTGTATGAGTGTTTTGCCTGTATCTAAGTGCACCTGTTATGCAGTGCCCGTGGAAGCCAGAAGATGGCATTAAATACTTTAGAACTGGCTGCATGTAAGTGGGGGAAGCAAACCAGGGTTCTCTTTGACAAGTTAGCACTCTTAAATGCTGAACCATCTCTCCAGCCCCCATTTCTTAACTCATTATTAAACGTTTGTGAAGGGTATTAAGTACTACTTACGGGGATCACACATCTTGATCATTAAACTGCTAAATGTGATCATTCGCTGCAGCCTGTGTCTAACTCAGGTCTTTGTTCTGAGCAGGCCGTGCCTATTCAAGGACACTACAACAAGCAGCCGTCCCCTTACTTCCCAAGAAGTTTTGTGAAGAGCGATATAAAGGTCGGTTTACAAGGAGAATGCTTTGTGCTGGAAACCTCCAAGAACACAAACGTGTAGACAGCTGCCAAGGAGACAGTGGAGGGCCACTCGTGTGTGAACAGCCTGGAGAGACCTGGGTTGTGTATGGGGTGACTTCTTGGGGGTATGGCTGTGGAATCAAAGATTCTCCTGGTGTATATACCAGAGTCTCTGCCTTTATACCTTGGATAAAAAACATCACCAAACTGTAATTTATGGAAAGTTCAGGAGGAAAACAAGATGCTGTTGGGAAGCTTTCGGGCTTCATTATTAGCACTAAGCCAGGGGTGACAAGTATTGTGGAGATCAAAGTTTCTGCTTCTTGTCATAAAGACTGTTGTGCTCTCTGCTGCTTTTCAGAGTTAGCTGAACAGTTTTGGGCTACAGTGCAATGCCTTTAGCATTGTTCTTAATTTTAATGGAAAAGTGAAATTGTCTTCTCTGCATTCTACTTTACCCTCTTTCCAACAAAGGCATTTATTTGATTGAGACCTTTTAACTGAATATAGTATAGATTAGGTGCCTACATGTGACCTAAACTACTTAAAATTTGATCTTGGCTATGTTCAAATAATATTGACATACTATTTTCTATTTATACTCAAATCTTATAAGGGTTTGACAAGTTTTTTCATATACCAGTATCTCCATAGCTTTTGTTAAAGGCCAGAAAGGCAAAGGAGTTCCATTGTAAATTATAATCAGGGTAGGATCAGTAGGCCACAAGGACACGTTTGCCATAGCGTATTTCTTAATATGATGTGATAGTCACAAGTATCAAAGTACCAAGAACCATGGAAAATCTAAGTGTTCTTGTTGCATCATCAGCAACCAGCAATCATGGTAATAAGCGGCCTAGAAAGACATTTCCTCCAGATCATTTAACCACAATTTGGCCAGTGTGAAATGTTAGCCTTTTTTGCTTTAGTTTTCTGGACTGTGATAGAAGAGTGCCATCTACTGAAACTTTCTAGAAAAATTAAGGGTTTCCAAAGAATATTCTGTCAAAATTTGTTTCCTCCCTATACATAAGTTCCTAAGTGTTTAAAATCTTAATACACACAGCAATCAAACTATGGCAAGCACTACACTATGTGCAACTGACTTAAGAGGCCAACATCTTATAGTAGCCTAGTTTTTAAATGGAAAACAGGTCAAATCACTGACAGGTCTCAATTTCAGTTAAACACAAACCTTACTGCTAAGGGATCACTTTTATGGTTCTTTCCTAAAGTTAAGCTTCCCTGGATATAAGGCTTTTAATATTCTTTACAGGACAATATTTGGCCAAAAAAAAAAAAAAGCATACTATGAGAAATACCATCACAGCCCCTTTTAAACACCTCAAAACTGGTTAAGATCAATACAGCTATAAATAATCTATGTCAAAGGACTCGACTTTACTTTCTGCATTGACTTGCCTTTTTCTCATTTTGAAAACACTTGGTACAGACATTAAGGTGCTATTATATAGTTCACTTCCGGAATGCACAACCTGTGTTTATCAAAGTTTTTCTAGAATCCCATTACTTTTTAAAAGGCAAGATTTTTGCAACCTGAAGAAAAACCACAGTAGCACTCACTTTGAGGCTCAACTATACATGGCATATACTTACAGAGGACTTGGGAAACAAAACGCAGCATGTTTACCTTTCTGGGATGCTCACTGATTCGTGTAATCAAACTACATTGTTGGTACAAGCAAGATTCATACTTAAAACTAGTGATTAGCAAACGGAAAGGGTAGTTGATAGCCCGTACTTTGCTAAGTCTGAAGTATAACCAAAGAGATTCAAAGGTCATCCTTATTTTGTCTTGTGAGTTTTAAAACAACGTTTGGTGCACATTTCTGTTAATAAAGTGTATAGCTTTCTCATCCTTTGCAGCTGCCATCATTGGAGGGGGTGGTTTAAAAGACCACTAAAGGTTAGGTAACCCAATAGCTTTCCTCTCTTTCTAAAGTGCTACTAACATCAGAACTGTTCATGTCATCCACACATGTTCCCCCAAAAAGAAACTTTATTACTTATTATTCGGGTACAAAGTTTTAAAACACTTAAACAAGAAACATCTTATATAAATACTAGTTCAAATAAAGTTCAAGCTTATTGAAAACAGTGCCCTGTAGGCATTTAAAACAACCATTTCCCACGACTTAAATCTGGTGAACTACTGTAAGATACTGAAGACCTCAGCCATCATCGCTTTGGCTTTGATACCTGCAAGAAAAGAAGACCAGCATTACAAAAGATCTGTGCACTCCCCATTCTGAGAGCCAAGCTTTTTCATTACCTATTTAACTGGATTAATTCTAAGTTACACGTCAGCAGAACAGGGAAATTACACCTAACCGTGATTAACCTGGAACCCCAAAAAACATTCGCGAAAGGAAGCTGCTTTCCGCCTGGGAGCTGGTGTGGGTCGGATGCACAGGCGGCGGAGCTCTGCGCTAAGATGGCTCCTAGGGCCATCTTTACAGGTTTTCTATTATCCAACACCAACGAACAAACCCAGGAACCTGGCATCCCACCGCTTACAGCAAAGAATGTTACTTGTGTCAGTCAGAATCTGATACCAATGAAATGGTGACAGCTTTGCCAATAAACAAGAATATGCTCTTCCATGGCTAGGAAGGGAGACTGCCACAGCCGACAGGTCCCAAAGACACATGGAGATCGCGACCCAGAACTACACCGCACCGCCCCTAGAGGTATTACTCACCATCTGGAGCGAACGGTGGCGGGTCTCAGCGCGCAGTCACCGCCGAACAAGGGGTCCACGCCGCGCGATGCCGACAGCGGAACTGCTGAGCTGCCCTCCCACCCCAGCGCCGTGCCGGCGGGGGAGCCCTTTTCCCGGAGCACGTGTTCTCACCCGCAGTTTCCGCGCGACCTAGGGAGCACCGCGGCTCTGCGACCGGCCCGCGAGGGGCGCGGACAGCACAGGTCTTGAAACGCTTGCATTTTAATTATGCCCAAGAGTCTTGCCCCAGGACCCATCTTAGCGCAGTGCTCCCTCAGCCGAGAACCCGACCTACGCCATCTCCCCGGCGGAAAGGAGCGCGGAGCTGTGCCGAACGCTTTTTTATACCCTCGATGACGCTTTCCGTGCGGCGCCGCGCGGGGGCGGGGCCTAGCGTTCACCCCGCCTCCTCGTCGGCCGTAGGTGGGTGGATCTGGAGGCCCGGGTCCTACGCATGCGCATACGACGCAAACGCGTTTTCTAGTGTCCAGAAAGGAGGTGGTGACTGAACCTCGGCAGGAAGGTGCATTTGTTTACTTTTTTTCTCATTGTTGGACCAAGTCCAGCAGTTGTCACATTAACCTTCTGTTAGGTTAATGTTTCTCGGTATTTTTTTTTTTGGTCTTTTTGAGACAGGGTCTCCCTGTAGTCCCGGCTGTCCTGGAACTCACTGTGTAGACCAGGCTGGCTCGAACTCACATGTCTGCCTTTGCCTCCCTAAAGGCGTGTTCTACCGCGCTGACTGGTGTTTGTCTCTTGATGAGCTGTCTAGAGGCGACTCGTGAGCGCCCGCTGGTGACTGCTCGCTGGGCCAGGCCTCTGCTGCTGGTTTGGTCTGTTTTCGCGCAGTACTGACCGCATTCCAAAAGAGGGCACAGCTAGGCAAGGGGAAGATGACTTGGGCGGCCAGGACTCGCCTCCTAGCGGCCCTCCCCTCTGGAGGAACCAGCGGTGTTCTTGGGCAAGAGCTTATTAAATCACGCCAAATGTGCTTTCTCCCCTTTACTCTGGTGTGAAACAGAAGGGCCCAAGTGAAGCCTTAATTTAGTGCTTGGACCATTTGAGGCAGCAGTTCCTGTCAGGGAAAATGGTGTAAAGATCTTGGGTTAAGAAAGCTACAGAGAAGGGCTACAAAGAGTGCTATGTACGGCGCAAGGGTGGAGGACTGAATTGGAGCAAAATTGTGCCAGTGTCAGAATGAGCATTAATTGGGGGCTGGAGTGATGGCTCAGCGCTTTAACAGAAGACCGGGTTCGACTCCCAGCACCTACATGGCAGCTAACGATAGCTCTAGTTCCAGGGTATTGGCCTTCTGTCCTCCCGGGACAATGCACAACACCGGTGCACTTAGATGCAGGCAACGCATGTAACCCATAAAATTAAAAGCTAGAAAAGAATGCGTGTTAATGGAAGACACGTTTGAATCTGAAGGATCTAGGGGTGCTTCTAAAGCCCTCCCGTATTCCTCACCTTATTTTCCTTCACCTCACTAACGAACTGAAATAACTATTGGATAACAAAGCTTTAGCACAAACAGTAGGGTTTTTTCCAAAACACTTTTTTTTTTTTTTGGTCTTTTTGAGACAGCGTCTCCCTGTAGCCCCAGCTGTCCTGGAACTCACTATGCAGACCAGGCTGGCCTTGAACTCACAGATATCCGCCTGCCTCTGCCTCCCAAGTGCTGGAATTAAAGGCGTGTGCCACCACGCCCGGCCCCCAAACACTTTTTTATCTGGGCTCTCTGATGTCTGCTTCTTTAGAGATGGAGAACTTGGAAGTCTGAGCATTGTAAACTGCAAGCTGTTCCTTCTGCCAGGTCTTTCCTAGGTTGTCAGTTTATTCTCCCTGCATCTTCCTATGTGTATTCTTTTGTGCTAGTCTCACCAAATCTCCTTGAAAGGTCAGTAGTCATATTTGATAAAGGTCTACTTTAATAACCTCATTTAACCTTAATTACCTCTTCAAGAAACATGATTCCAAATACTGGTACATTCAGAGGTTTAAAAAAAATTGGGGGGAGCACAATTTGGTATAAGACTATACATTTGGTATAAAACAAACTTATGCTAGGCTTCGTTGTCTTACTGAAGGTTTTAAATGAAGTGACCGTTTCTGTGGTTAGGTAGCTAGAACTGGATTAATGACAATGTACTTTCATATTTTGACTTTTAACTAACATTTGTGTTTTTTCTGAACCTGAACTTTTAGAATGTTCCTTTTGCTACTCCATTATTTTGCTTATGATCTTTTCTTTATCTTGACTGTCTCCCCAGCTATTGCCATCTGCTGGATTTCTTTGCAGCTTTCCATGCTTGTCTTGTGGACATTTTCACTGCTCCAACGGAATTTAATTTTTTTCTCATTTTTTGACATATAGTAGTTCTAGTTTGTTCTTCTCTTGCTGTGATAACATCTTATAGGTTAAAGTCCATCTTCTGTTGCTGTGACAACAGAACAGGTTCAATTCCATTATTGAGGGAAACCAAGGCAGAAATACAAGGCAGGAGTTTGAAGTAGAAATAGCTGAAGACTATTGCTCACTGGCTTGGCTCCCCTGCTTGCTCAGTGAACTTTTTTATATAGCCCAGGCCCATCTGTCCATGGAATGCATTGCCACAGTAGGCTATGTTCTCAAATATCAGTTAGGACTCTCAGCATTCCCTCTGAAACTTCACAAGACAAGACTCTACCATCTACCTTTCTCTCAGCATTCTTCGAAGATCCCACAGAATAACCCATTAAGCTCTGAGCACTCAATGGCTTTTCCGGGTCAGAGGTCCAAACACTTCCACAATCCTCCCCCAAAACAATATGGTCAGGTTCATCATACCAAGACCCTAGCCTCTGGTGCCAATTTCTGTTCTAGTTTGCTTTTCTGTTACGGTAATAAACACAATGACTGTGGTGGTTTGAATGAGAAATGCCCACCCCCCATAAGGCTCAAGTGTTTGAACACTTGGTACCTAGTTTGTGATCTGTTTCAGAGAGGTCACAGAACCTTTGTGAGGTGAAGCTTTGGGAAGTACATTACTGGGAACGGGCTTTGCGAGTTCTTAGCCTTGCTCCAGTTCCAGTTCGCTCTCTACTTGGTTTTTGGAATCAAAGATGTGAGCTCTGGGCTTCCTGTCGCTATGCCAAGAGCTAGACTCAATTCACTGGAGCATAAGCTAAAATAAGTCTTCCTTAAGTTGCCTTTAGTCATGGTGCTTTGTTGTTGTTTTGGTTTTGAGAGCAGGTCTCCTGTATTCCTAGCTAGCCTGGAACTGGCTATGTAAACCAAGCTCACCTTGATCTCACAGAGATCTGCCTGCCTCTGCCTCCAAAGTGCTGGGATTAAAGGCATGTACCACCAGGCCTGGCTCGTGGTCATGGTGTATTATCACAGCAACAGAAAAGTAACTAATACAATGTCAGAGAGCTACTTGGGGAGGAAAGGTTTATTTCTTTTTATAAGTTACAGTCCACTGAAGGAAGCCAAGGTAGGAACTCAAAGCAGAAACCAGGGATGAATACTGCTTACTGGCTCACTTTCCTTGGCTTGCTCAGCTACATTTCTTTTACAGCTCAGACTCACCTGCCCAGATGTGGTACTGCCCACATTGGGCAGGGCCCTCTTTCATCATCAATTAGCTATCAAGAAAATGCCCCACAGACATGCCCACAGACTGATCTGATTGAGGAAATTCCTCAATTGAGGGTCCTTCTTCCAGGTATGACGAGTTGATATCCAGGATCAGCCATCACAGCAGTAGTTGGATTTTCCTCTGCTGTCTTTATCAGAAACTCCTTGTGGTGAAACCTGTCATGTTCTTATTGGAAGTGCCTGGCAGAAAGACTTGTATTAAACCAGCACTCAGGGCCATTGCCAAATGCTTTGAAGTACTCAAGACCTGTTCTGAAGTACTCAATACCTGTTCTGATAACAACAAGTATTTATTTTAAGGGCCAGGGATATCACTTCATCAGTAGAATGCTTGCCTAGCATGCTCAAAGCCCTGGGTTCAGCCCCCGACACTGATAAACTGGTGTGGTACATACCTGTAGCCTCGGCACTAGGGAGGTGGAGATAAGAGGATGCTTGCTATGTAGCCCAGGACAAGTCCCAGGTTAGTCTTGGATACATGAAAAGGTTTTTTATTTTTATGTTTTTCGGCCTGGGTATGTAGCTTAATGGTGGCATGCTTGCCTAGTATGTAGTGTCCAGGAGAGAGGAGATGAGAGTTTCCTGCCATTTGTAATAAAATATTCTTTTCCATTCTACAAGGCTTGTTTGTTAAATTTTTATTAGCTTCCAGAAAATGCTTGTTCTGCAGACATTGTCCTTGCTTGGATAGACACTTCTTTTTAAAAATATTTTATTTATTACTATTTTTATTTTATGTGTACGAGTGTATTACCTGCATGTATGTGAGTGCACCTGTGTCGCGCTATGCCATGGAGGTCAGAGGAGGGTTTCGGATTCCCCTGGAACTGGAGTTAAGGACGGTTCATAGCCACCATGTGGGTGCTAGGAATCGAACCCGGGTCCTCTGCAAGAGCAGTCAGTGCTCTTAACTGCTGAGCCACCTCTCCAGCCCTGGATAGACACTTCTTAAAGAAGACAGGCATACAAAAGGATGATGATGAAAAAATACTCAGTGTCACTTGTTGTTGGGGAAATTCAAAGTTTAAAAAACCACACCAGTTAGGATGACTGTTATAAGAGAGAAAACAATAACGGATACAATGGGGATACAGAAAAAAAGGGAATTCTTTGCACAGTTGCAAAATTTTATTTTTTTTATTGAGTTTTTTTGTGTATTTCATACAGAACAGCTCAAACAATCTTAATCATCATGCCATCCCCACTGGCATCCTTCCATAGCCCCCGCTTCACTGCAGTCCATATACTCTTTCATCCCTATTAAGGCACACTGGGTTGTCAGTGTCCCCAGCTGTCCCCAGTGCAAATCTGTCTACTAAGTCTAGTCAGCCTATCTAGAGTCCCTTGTTTTAGGAATATCAGCTCTTCTTCATCTAGCAGCAATCAGTTGCCAACATTCCTTCAGATAAGATTGAGGTCTGCTGTTCAAATTTCCCAGTTCTATGCTGGGTTATTGTCTGCCTGAGTTTGCATGGGGCTTGTGTATAAAATTTTAAATTATTACAGCTATTATGGAAAGTAGCATGTTGCTTTCCTAAATAATAATAAAAAAAAGTATGAAGTTCTGAGGCAAGATCCCAGCTGAAGATGGGATGCCCATGTACCAAGAATAATATAGGGATTTGAACAGGAGACTGAGAGGTGAGGTTAGGAGGAGTGCCAGTGAAGTGTGTCCTGAAAGTCAAGAGTGGTTTAG